CACACACACACACACACACACACCCTCCAGGCCTTCACCACACTGTTGTCTGTGTCCATGGGTTATGCATATATGCATATAAGTACAGTAGATAGGTAGGTAGTTATTAACAAAGAACAAAGGAAGGGGGCAAATGGAATCAGACACTGAGCCTGATTAAGTCTGGAAGGTACCGCTTCCAGACACTCCAGGAGATAGCTGCATTGCTCCATCAAGGGGATACTTAACATACCTCCCTCCCCCAAGTAGGAGGAACCAACTTTCCAATCTCCCCAGGAACAACAAGCACCTTCCTATTGATTACAGGTGGTGGGGGGTGGAGAACTAGTAAAAGGAAAATTTTCCTCTGCTGAGGCATGTGTAGTAGAAGCCAGTTGACTAGGCAAAACTGTGAGACATGTGCAGTAGGAACCAAAATGGGACACAACAGCCCGGGAAAGGACAGGATGGGATAAGGGCATGGACCTGGGAAGATACAGGAGAGGGACTGAACAGAGCGAGGACCCAGCACGAGCCTGTGAAGAATGAGGAAGAAGGCTGGTTAGTGTGAAAGAAAGCTTACCCCTTCCCAAGCCCAAGGTACTACAATCAAAGCTTAACAAATGCCCAGGGCTGGTTAGTTCACACATTCTCCTCCGTAGCAGCCGCATAGCCATAGCCACAGCCACGGCCACGGCCACGGCCACAGCCACAGCCACAGCCACAGTCTTGTGATCAGACCACAGAGCAGCCAGGAGCAGAGACTACACTGTACTATGACGGCATTACAGTTCTGGATCCTGACCCTCTTGGTGGGCACCTGTGCTCACCAGGCCCAGGACTTCCATAGCGAGATGGAGTTGAGCCTCCTGGTATTGGATGATACATCAGGGATCTGTGGGCAGTCCTTTGTTTCTTCTCCAATAAATCTTGCCACTATTACTCACATCCTTCTATGCCTGAGTCCCCAAAATGCTTTTCTCACCACTCTTTGGAAGATCCCATTTCCACTGGCAACACTATGGCATCTGATCAATGTTGCAATGAAAAAATGTTGAACAAAACAACTATTTGAGGACGTGCTGTATAGTGCAAAAGACTGGGTCACTCATGAGCTCTACATAAGTAATATTCTGGAACCAAGCCAATGATGGTTCTAACCTGAGGAGGGTTGGACCATTTACGATGATAATGAATCCTTCACAGTAACCAGAAAGATTCCTCTGAAATACATCAACCAAGTATCATTTATAAGTTAAACCTATTACTATGTATTTCTACCATTCCAATTGCTTACTGAAAAGTGATATTCTTTGACATCCATTCTTAGAACATTAGTATATTAAACGCAGATCATGCCACATTGATGGTGTCATCCCTCCAAACAACTTATTACAGAACCTTCAATTTAACTGATACCCATTTTTTCCCCATTAAGTTAAATAATGCATTGAAACAGGGTAACAGTTAAGAACACCAGATATGAAATTAGATAGACCTGGAGAATCAAGTCTCAGTTACATCATTTGACAGGTGTTTTATCTTTATGTAAGTAATTTTACTTAAGTTTTGACATGTATAAAATGGAAATCACTTCATAATCTAAAAGCCTGTTTTTAAAAATATAAATGAGCCCTGGCCAGTGTGGTTCAGTTGGTTATAGTGTCATCCTGTACACAGAAAGGTTGTGGGTTCGATTCCCATTCACAGCACATACCCAGGTTACAGGTTTGATGCCCCGTCAGGGTGCATACAGGAGGCAACCAATCGATGTTTCTCTCTCTCTCCCCCTTCCTCTCCCTCTCCAAAATCAATTTTTAAAAAAGAACATATTCTGAGGTGAGGATTAAGGGGGGAAAATATATGTACACACATATATATATATGAAAGAATGGATTACACAGAGTAAGAGGACCCAAAAGTAATTACAAAAAACAGTAACAAGAAGACAGTAAAACAGTAATAAATCTGGATACCTTTAACTCAACAGAGCTTGTGACAGCTTCTCTTACATATAGTGCCTCTATAAAATATCTTAAACATTCTTTCAAACTAAAGGTTTATCAAAAAGAAAGGCAAGCCCATTCCCAGACATAAACACTATTATCACCATACAGAATGACATGAAAAATTACAAAGCACATAACAATTAAAAAGCACATAAAAAAGGAAAACAACTCACTGCCAAGAGAAAGCAATCAATAGAACCAGATTCAGACATGAAACAAATGCTGAAGTCATTAAACAGGGAGTGTAAAATCACTATCATTACAATGATAAAGGATCTAATGGGAAAGATAGCCAATAGGGAAAATAGTAGAGATAAAAACTGTAAGAATCAAATAGAAGTGCTGGAAATGAAAAACACATTAAGAGAGGAAGATTACCTTCAACAGACTCATGAACAGACTCAACAGAAGCGAGGAAAGAGGTAACTTCTGGCAAGTCAAAAAAAATTACCAAAATGAAATATGAAGAGAAAAAAGGTTGGGTAAAAGAACACAAAACAATGCACCCAATAACTCTGGGATAAGTTAGACACAGAAGGACAAATACTGTAAGATATCACTTATATATGAAATCTAAAAAAAACCCCTCACAGAAACAGAGTGGAATGGTGGTTATTAGCAGATGGGGAATGGGGAAATGGGAGATATGTTGTTAAAGGGGAAAAAATACTCTTGCAACTAGTATATAAATAAGACAACCTAGAGATTTAATACACAGTGAGTACAAACAAAACTATTATAAACATTAAACTTGTTAAGACTCTAGATCTTAATTGTTCCCACCACTAGAATAAATAATAATTATGTGATGTGATAGAGGGGTTAACTAATGAGACAATGGCAATCATATTAAAATATAAATGTATCAAATCAATATGCTATATTCCTTAAATTTACACAATGTTAAATGTAATTATATCTCAATAAAGAATGATTAGTATAATTCAATTTTAACTAATAAGGAAATAAATTATTTATTTACCAATGGATTGTAATGTCACTTTTTTTTTACTATCAAGTTGTTTTTTAATTTCTCCTGAAGAAAATCTACCAAAGAAATATTTGCATAAATACTGAAATTATCAACATTTAAAGTTAATATAACTGTATTGTTGACAATGTTTTGAAATAATTCATGTTCATATATATTATGTAGTAGTAAAGAATTTACAGGGGGAAAGGTCTTCATAAACATTAGATAGGCTTGAAACAATATGAATGGAAACTTTTCTTCCTAATTGTAATTAAGAAGAACATATGCAATATGCCATTTATATATTGCTTACATATAATATATATGATCAATTATACATCTGATCTAAGGGGAAGAAACCCTTACGGTACATAGTTTCGTTTGCATTAAGAAAATGAAAACTACCATGAATATCCTTTTTTTCCTGTCAATCAAGCATAGCTTTCCTACCCACAAACAAGTGAACCTTGAAATAAAAAAGAACTGAATGTAATACAAATTCTTTGTAGAAAATAGGAAAAAGTCATTTGAAAGGTCTTCCCCCAAAAGTAAATTGTAAATGGACAGATACATACAAATGCAACAGTTAATGCTATCTGAATTTACCAATCCTATTTTATGTCATAATTTGTCACAGAACATAGAAACTAGAGCTGTAAGTATATACTAGAAACTTAATTTGTTTTAAATTGTTGAAAAAACCCCACAGAAGAAAAACAAGGTATCTTGCACATAGTTGATGTAGATTCACAAAATTCTGTGGTTTTGTTCATGAAAAAGCCTTGCATATCTCTACATACATAGCAGCTTGAGAGTGAAATTGTGCCTTTTGTAAAACTAGAAAAATGTGAAAACACCCAATTTCTTCTTATGGCCTTAGTGTTAGGGACACTAACAAGACAGAGGGAACCAAAACAGGGAGGTTTTCATAAAACATATATTAATGACCTGAAGAATTTTCAGGCACTCAATAATATTTTTCTCATACTATTTACTAGTGGGATAATATGTCTCTATTTAAATATGTGTAACTGGAGTGCCAGCAGTTAGAGGGAAGAGAAAGTGGAAGAAAACGGGGAACAAGAATAAAAATGACTGGTGATTTCTCACCCATTAAATTAAAGGAGCTTATTGTAAATGTTACAGGAATCGTAAAATAAATAAAATGAAGGATTATATGTAATAAACCAGAAGAGAATATCAAACAGCATAAACATATTCAATATAAGAGAAGGCAGAGAGGGGGGAAAGGAACAGAACAGATGGGATAAATAGGAAACAAATAGTAAAATGAAACTTTTAAAATCAACAGTACCTAAAAAGAAATGAAATAAACACAGAAATTAAAAGAAAAATGGTTGTCAGATTAGTTTAAAAAAAAGAGAAATAAGGCCAAATTATATGCTATATGCCTAAAATTCAAAACAGCTCAAATGTTTATCAAGATGAATGCAGAAACAAATTGCTATAATCACTACAATGGAATACTGTTCAGCAACAATAATAACCAAACTATTGATAACATGGGTAAATTTCAAAATAGCAAGCTGAGCAAAAGACCCCCCCCCCACACACACACCCTTGCTAAATAATTCTATTTTTATGTAATAAGAACACTCACAACTTTTCTACCGTTATAGAAATCACATTCACAGTTTCCTGGGGTGGAAGGGTAGGGCAAGGGAATCATGACAAAACTTTTTGGGCTATAGAGTACTTTACTTCATGACTGGGGTGGTATTTAAACAGGTATACATCATTGAAAAACATCACTGAGCTGTATATTTAAAGTGGGAGAATTCACTGTCTCTTATGTAAATCAAAATTTAATAAAATTCTAAAAGTAATAAATTAGAAATCAATAAAAATAATATAGCCAGAAATACTACAAAATTTGAAAATTAAACATACTTTAAAATAGTGTTAAAAGGTGGTTTCCTGTATGTTTAAGAACATATATAATTTGACGTTTATAAGTTTACATTTATAATAATGTGAAGACTAGTTAGTAATTTAATGCTCTACAAAATTATATATTTTGTACACATACAATAAAATAAAATAATTACCAATTGAAGCTGAGTATATTTGTTTCATGTGAGTTTCAATGACAGAAGGATCCCGAGAGCTGTAAGTTCCCAACTCAGGGTAAAAGCTGGAGCCAATATCATCTGGAGGGTAGTGTTTCCCTTGTGGATAATTCTTGTTTATTTTAGGGTCCCAGTGCTTCAGAATTGAATGGTTCCAATGTATGTATTTACCATCAAATTGTGGATTTCCATACCAACTATAATAAAATACATGTAAATAATAATTCAGTGCTGGCAGTTCTTCTGGGTAAGGCTCAGAGGCTTTGGAAGGTTTCACAGTGAATTCAACAGTTTTTAAATTCTTGGTATTTGTTTCACTGTTGATTCTGTCACTCATTTGGGAATCAAAATTTTCCTCCAAGCGAGGGATCTGTGGATGAATTTCTGGAAGAAGAAGGTCAAGTCCAAAAGGAACTCCAAAAGTATCTTTATTTGGTCTCAGCATTTTTAAACCCATCATCACAGAAAAAATAAACAGAATAAAAAGTGACAAAATGATGCAAGTCCTTCTTCGAAACTTTGCCATGATGACATACTTTAAACTCCAAAATGATAAATGTTCAGCTGTAATTTATTGAAAAACAGTATTAGTAGGTGGTATTAATGATATTTTCCAATGTATTAAAAAAATGAAAACACATATGCAAAAAGTTCATTACACTGAAAAAATTTTAACAGTGCATTAGGCTAATTATACCAAATATTGATGTCTACAACAGAATCTACATATGGCTATCCTAAATGCAGTATTTATTCAGATATACCACAGTTACATTTTGTCAGATAAACATTTTGGAAATATTATTTAACAAAACACATACATATTTTTCATCATTTGGAGAGATTTTACGTACACTGAATATAAAGAAAACATTCTATGTACGGGGACAAAAATTTTCTAAATATAAAGTTAAGGTTCATAGTTTAAAAAAGGAAATACTTGTGAGATTTTCAACAAACTCATTTTTTAAATAAAAATAATTATTTCACAAGAAGGGATTAATCACACATTTTAAATGACATTTTTAGATGGCATAGAATGAGATAAAAAAACTTAAATGATCACAAGTTAGAGATTCCTAATTTAAAAAAATATTATTACTTTATAACTTTGAAAATCATATTGAACAGAGGTTATAAAATTAACTTACAACTTCTAAAATGTTTTGTGTGTTCTTTGTTTCATTAAGTGCGTATATACACACACACACACACATATATATATATAGGTAGGCGTGTATATGTACATAGGTATATATACATAGACATGAATAAAATATTTGTCTTTTTATGTACAAATTTTTTATTAGAAAGGTATGTGGTGAAGAGTTTACATTGGCTGTATTTATAAAATATGATTTTCTACTATATATCATGCTGTTATTCTAAAGCATTAAGTTAAAAATAAATTAATTGTGATAGAAAAAACAGACAAGTAAAATTTAATCTAATGAGCAAGTATTTCTGTCACACACACAGGCTGTCTATAAACTGATGCTTCTATTATGCATATATGCAAGAAATACTAAGATGAGCAAGCATTACTTCTTTAAGGGCTAAAATTCATACTCTCCTGAAAGTCAACCTTGTATAACTGTGAACTATATCACACCTAAAGATTAATATAAAAAAATATATGTTTAGTTTGAAACATAAACATTCGAAAATAAAAGTGTCAGCTTTCAAAAGCCTATCTCCACCTTTGGTGCCTTCTGTCAGTCACCAGCCGTACCCCTTTCTCCTTGCTTAAGGGAAACCACTTGGCTTTTGTGTTTATCATTCCCTCACCTTTTTTTTAGTTTTTCCCAAAACATAAGCATACCTAAGCAATCTTAATTTTGTTTTGCCTGGTTTCAAACTTTTATTTAAGTAGCTATGGTACATCCATATACCATAATAAATCATGCATACATACACACAAATATATAATATGCATGTTAATCTTATATGCATACCTTACATATATTTACATACAATATAAATGCATATAATTATGTATATAATTCAATATATATGAGATACACAAAACTTCTGGAAAACAATATTGATTACTAAACCTTTGACACTTTACCTGGGGTCCTACCTCTTCCCCATCCACCCACTCCATCACATCAGTTCCTTCTTTCTTATAATAAGCCAGGATCTTGGAATGAAAGACCTATGTTCAAATCAGTTATGTTGATTTAGTTGTGTGACCCTAAGTCACTTAATCTCTTCGTTAAAAAGAGCATATTGCCTGTTTTGTTTTCTGACAAAGTTGTCCTGTAATCATGCAAGGTAATTTATGTGAAAGTGTAAAAGAGTAATGCTTCAATCAACTGGTAAGTATTGATTGAATTTAAAAATAAAAAGAAATATAGAAACCATAGTTTTGAAATTTTTTATATTTGTTATACATACTTCTCAGATCTAACATATGAACACAAATTACAAAAAAATCCATTTATGAACGGTTGACACCTTTTTATCCCTCTTGGCAGTCAATGATTTCTTAAAATGTTCCCTTTACATTACTTACTTAATTCACTCTCTTAACAAAACTTATCACATCATTATAGATTATCCACTGGTTCTATCCCACCTCCATATCATGTCAACCATAAGTAAGACAGCAGATCATTGTGATTAAAAGTATGGGCTCTGCAGTTCAAATGCCTCAGTTCAAATTCCAGCTGTATCCTTTTTGAGCTATTTCACCTATGCAAGGGACCTGACCTTTCCCTGATTTTTGTGTATGTGTGAGGATAAAATAAGTTAATATTATAAAACTCTTAAGAATCTTTCTGGCTTAGTGTTACACTGGATAAATATGAGAAAGCATTTATGATGATGATGATGATGACCATCAAAGATGGGTATCTGGCAAACAATAACTAAAAAAAGGTTTATTTTCTCTAAATGCCTGTTCTCTATATGGCTAACTTTTAAAATACTACTCATCCTGCAAGACAAAGCAAAAGTATTGCCTCTTCTTCTTGATACCTCTAATGGTTCCAGAGTGAAAAGCACGCACTTTCTCATATATTCTATTGTTACAGCATTACCTCCTTTTTAAATTGGCATTTCTTTGTTTATGTACTGCAACATGCTATTTATTTACATGTATTATATCCCCTACTACCTTGCTCCTTAAGGTCCAAAAATGGAATCCTTATCTTTATAGTCTAGTAGAGCCCAATATATCTTATACATAGTCAGTGACTACTGTGTTCAGCTTAAACAATTTAATTTCTGACTCTTTTGTTTTGACAACGGTATATATTTGGGCAATATGTGTATAGACAGATTCTACTGACTATACATATACTTAACATGTTTATAGTCTATAATGAACTTATTATACAGGAAGAATCATAAATAGATAGATCCATTAATTTTAAAAATCCATTTTAATAAAAATTATCATGTCCAACATAGCAAAACCACAATGATCTTTGGAGTGCCTAACAGGTGTAATGATCTCACAGGAAATGAATAGAGGAACTACTTATTTGGCTTCAACAGAAGTTTCAGAAGTCACTTGAGAGAAAAAACCTCGAGTTAATTGCAGATGTATAGGTTCTCAAAGCAGGAACCTACTCCAGGTATTGACTACTGAAAATCTGTTATCTTCAAAGGACAGTTTACATTACATAATAGGTTCTTCCAAAACTTTATTGTTTCTGTTTTTGTGTTTTGTGCTTTTAATCTTCGAAGTGCTAGTTTTTGACTTGAAGGTCTAGTGAGGTCCAAGAGATCCAGAAGCCATATGATACCAACTATTATTTCAAAAAGTATTTGCTGTTATCTTGTTACTCAGAAAAGCCAAAAGCATTTCACCTTTTAATTATCTATTATTAAATTATAGACTTCTGGTGCTTTTTTTTAGTATTGTTTTCTTCTAACTTTATTTTCTAAGAACCAACTGGAGATAAACTAATACTAGAAGACACATCAGGAACTTCAAGACCAGTTTCAAAAGGTTTCCTGCCCAGGTCGGTTTTAAGTAAACGCTTATACCCTCTAGTTAACAAATACTCAGTTAAGCATAATCTCATCCTTCCATTTTAATCTTCACAACAACCTATGAAGTAGAAATTCTTCTTAACGCCACTTTACAGATGATGGGACTATGGTGCAGAGTAGTTGATAACTTTATCAGCTAGCAAACCGTAAATAACCTGCCTGAGGTGAAACAACTAGCAAGGAGCAGGGCAAGTCTAGCTCTAGAACTCAAGCTTTTGCTCTCATGCCATTCCACCTCCTTACAACTTACTGGGCAAATCAAGTTTACAGAATATAACACTGCAATTGCTGTGACATTGATGAAAAGTGTTGACACGTGGGCATATTTTCATGTAAACATTATGGACTAGTAAGCAATGATTATCTGTTACCTACTCATAAAATTGTAGCCCAAATTTAATCTCAAGACAGCTTATTTTCTGATTGTACACTTACTATTCATCACATGACTAATGTTTTAATGCGTGGAACCAGCCAATCCCAAGATTCACTGCACTCCACCATTTTCAGGGTTTCCAATAGCTTAATAGGAATGGAGTAGCATATTATCATGAAAATGACTTGCAATGCGACTTAATATTACTAATCTCTAAATTTTATTTTGTATTACACTTTCACACTATTGTCTAAATACGTTAACATACCCCATTTCAGTTCCAGTTGTCTTTTAAGTTCGTATAACATTATCCTCCCTTGTTTCTGCTGTTAAGCGCTTCTACATTTTCCCCTAACAGTTATCTGTAGGGTCTTGCAAGAATAAAAACAAAACGAACTATCCTAACTGCCCGAACTGCAATTTCCTCTTTTTGGAAAATAAAATTAAAAAAGACACCAGTCCACACTATTTACACCCTGAGACCTAGCAAAAGATAAGTCTACGATGACAGTGCCCAGCACGTTGCAGGGGGCCTGGAAAAGCTGCTCTGCGGGGCCTCGCCGTCCTCGCTCCCCTCTCCCGACCCCTAAAGGCGCCGGGGACAGGCGACCGCGACCGCGACCCCTC